CAGTGATTTACCCGCTCCCTTCGGAGGCGAGGGGAAGACGTGGCGGGAGGCGGGGAAGGGCCCCGGAGCTGCGATGCCTTAAGCGAGCGGTCACGCCGAGAGGCGCGGAACAAATTTCCCCTCCCCAGGAGACGTGACGGCCAAATTTCCCCGTGCCCGTGAGAGCCCGAGGGAGGGAGAAGGGCCGGCTGCCACCGGCACCGCCGGCGGGGCTCAGAGCCGCCCCGGGGCTGGGCGCGCTGGGCTGGGCACGCCGCAGCCCTCTTCCAAAAAACCCCAGCGGGTCATGCCCGTCCTCCCGGCCAGGCGGACACGACGGCAGCGAGAGTCCAGTCAGCCCCCGAGGCCTCCTTGCAGGGAGCCGGAGAGCCGGGGGGACGGATCCGGGGCAGGCGGCGAGGGGGCGTGCCCCCACTTAATTCATTAAAATGTGTCGGAGAGCGTGGGAAAGACGGGAGCTTTTCTTCCCAGCGCAGAGCCGCAGCGAGAGGCGTGCGAGGGAGAGCGCCCTCCCCGCCCGGCTCCCCGGAGCCGGAGGAAGCGCGGAGGTTTCCTCCGCCGCTGGCCACGCCGGCGCTTCGCCTCCGGGCTGTTTGGCAAAGCGGCTGTCGGAGCCCCGACGGGGAAAGCCGGGGCTCGGCCAGTGCCGCCTGCCCCAGCGCGGAGATGTGGGGTGCGGGGATGCAGGGAGCCCAGCCGGGGCTGTGGCTGCTGCGTGGGAACAGCCTCCCTTGTGCGGATTCACCTCTGGGGACAGGAAAGGGGATCCCTGTGGGGATGAGGTGGGGAAGAGGTCGAGGGGGGTCTCAGGGGACACCTGTCTTCCCTGTGGTCTGAGAGCTGCACAAGCAGAGGCGTGGCCATGGGACTGGCCTCACGCTCTCCCCATGGACATGTCACACAGCAGGAGCCTTCGGTGGCACCCAGACTGTGCCTGGGTGGGCTGGGACCCTGCCAGCCCTTCAGGCAGAGCTCCTGAGGCCAGAGCCGGGGGTTTGCAAGGGAAACCTCATGCTCTTGCAGTGAAGACGTGTGGGTGCCCTGTGTCCTCTGCAGGGAGCACAGCACCACAAGGAAAGCTCTCATGAGTGGTTTGGGAAGTTCTGTGGACAAGGGCATCCTCCTGGGACTCCCACACCACAGGGGCCACTGCAGGAACATGGTCTGGGGACTGCCACTTCCCACGGATGTCACTGTAGATGCTGTTCTGCATGGTCCCTCCCAGCCTGGAACAAACAGGGTTTAAAACCTGAGTGAGACTCATAACACTACACATCGTTATTGTCCTCTGGGGAGCACACAGGCAGGGGTGTCCCTGGGCTGGAGGATGTGGTGCTGTGCTGTACAGTTTGGGTTATCTTACTGCAGCTTGGCCTTTAACCACTCCAGAGCCCTGTCTTGTCAGTCCTTATCCTGCTGGAAATGCTGCAGCTCTTCTGAGGTAACCCATGGTCTTGGTGTCTGACAGCACAAAAATGCTCCTGGAGCAAAAGGCCACAAGCTGGGACATATTTGGAGCTGGAGAATTCCTGCCTGGTGCCACAGGCAGGGATCTTGGGCTACACCAGTGTCTCAGTGCTGCCAGGCCATGCCGAGGCATCCCCTTGAGTGATGTCCCTGTGGGATTGAGCACACGTTCTCCAAACTGCCATGGCTCCAACCTGTGTTCTGCTACACTGACACCATCACGTTCCCCTGACCTGGTGTGCTGGCAGCTGCTTGTGGAGCTTCTGGTCCTGGAAAACTGGCACGTGGAAGGACCATATCCTCACTTTGCAGGTGCTGATAGAGTTGGTTGGAGACACAGACCTTGGTTTTATGTGCCCTGGGCCAGCCTCCCTGCCTTTGGGCCATAATTATTTTATCCTGGATCATCTGAACGAGCTCCAGGATGAATCCAGTGTCAGTGCAGGGTTTTGGTGCCAGGAAATTGTTGCCATCTCTTGAGACACATGGTTCTTGGGGCCACTTACCACAGAATCAGAGACTGGTTTGGGTTGGAAATGATCTTTAAAACTCATCTTATCACACCCCCTTCCATGGGCAGGGACACCTTCCACTATCCCAGGCTGCTCCAAGCCCTGTCCAACCTGGCTTTGGACACTTCTAGTGATCCAGGGGCAACCTCTGGGCAATCTGGTTGCACCACCACGTGGTTGCACTGCATGGCCACTCCTTTGTGGGTGACTGTGGGATGGGGCTATGTCACCCCACTGCTCCCACTGCACAGTTCCCCCAGAAGACTCATTACAGCCTACCAGGACTGGACTCTGTACGTGCTGACTGCTCTGTGAGGGCAGCCCTGGGATCTAAGCAGGCTTGGGGGTGACACGGCCATAGTCCCCATGGGACACATGCCTGGTGAGTGATAGAAGTTCATTTGCCTAAGGGTCATGCCCACATATTGGCAGGTTGATGGGAAAGGTCTGGTCCCAGGCTATTCCCCAGGGAGCAAATGTCCCCTGATTGATGCAGATGTCTCTCCTCCATAGGACATCTCTCTCCTCTCCCCTCACTGTGCGCAGTGACCCTGCCCTGTGGGAGCAGAATTCCCGTGGTGTGGGGCAGCACAAGGGCTGGAGCTCACAGCCAGCTCGGGCTGGATCTGTGTCCAAAACCACACAGGTTTGTTTGAAAATGGCAGCCGAGCAACTGGGAGCTCAATTGGAGCATCCAGCTGGAAGAGCGGCTCCAGGATGAGGATGGGCAGTGACACAGCCCCTGTCCTCTTCCTCCTCCCGTGCCTTGCTGGCTGCCTTAGGGACCAACCAGCCCTAGTTCAAGGCACAAAGTCATGCCAGGGAACACTGAGCTGATTTCTGTGAGCCGGTCAAATATGTGGCGAGGTTTCCGCTCCAGATTACAGGAGGAAGGAAGTTTGCTCGGAAGGGGATGGGGATAAGGTGGGGGAGAAGGGAGGGAAGTGCATTCCTGCCTGATGAGGAACAATGTTGATATATTCATTTGTAAACTAAAGCTGGCCTGAGTGTCAAACACCTTGTCCCTGTCAAACTCTGAAGGATGTGTGGGAGTACACAAGGAGAGGAGAGGAACTGTCTGACATCCGATGCAGCGTGTGGTTTCCCAGGGCTGAGGGACAGACGCTGCTCAGCCAGATCTCATTCATGATAAAGAGCAATAAAAACCTTCCTCAGTGCTGTTGTATCCCAGGGTCCCCTCACACATCCTGTCACGCAAAGGCAGGAGCTGAGCACAGGTGAAGCAGATCCAGGGGCTCTGGAGTGGGCAGCCCACCCAGAGCACTCATCCCTGCCACAGCACTGCTGGAGCTGCCCTTCCCATGCAGGATCAAACGGCTCCATAAAACCAAGGCGGGCTCATTACTGCCCTAATAAATGCTAAACATTAGTATGACACAGACAATGGGATTTTGTAATTAATTTTTTTTAAGCAGCCAGATAAGGAAACAATATTGTAGGCTGATTAGAAAGCTGCTTTAATTCCCTTTGATATGTATCCACCATTCAAAACTGGACAATTTATTACCTCCTGGATGCTCCTCAAGGCTAATCTGATGTGGAATTTGCTGTTGGCCGTGTCTGATTGGAGGTGACCTTGCTGCATACTTCCTACCACAGCACCACCTCCTGTGGGCAGCAGAAAGGAAGAGGTGCTGTGCTGGGTCCCAGCCACTGCTCCTGTCTCCAGGAGCCGGACAGAATCCTCCAGGAGCTGTTTTGTGCCATGTCCACAGGTACACACTACTTGCTGCATTCTGCCCTGGGCTGGTGTCCTAGAACAAGTCCCAGCCATGGGACCCTGCCCTAGCACAGCCCTGACTGTAAGCACAAGAGCTCTCCCCTAAACTGGGAGAGCTCTCAAGCAGATAAAATCCTGGAGTTGACCAGGAGGTGACCCTACTGTCCCCAGGGATCAGAGGGAAAGGCACCTTCTAGGCAGCTGTCCCCAGGTGAGGGACAGGGCCGTGTGTCCCCATCTCGTGTGAGCTCCCCTCCACAGCAGAAGCAGTGGCAGACTAATGTGAAACCACAGCTCTGGAAAACCCAGCAAGCAAAGGCCAGAAGTGCCCATGAATGGTCAGATGTGCCTGTGGCTCAGCAGCTTCCTCTAAACAGGACCTAGAAAGGTTAATCCCATTTTGGAGAGTTTTATTTCATGGCATGACCAAGCAGCACACACTGTGGGGGCCAGCAGTTGGAGGCTTTGCATCATTCCTGCTTTGCCTCATCCCCAGTTTTTGCCCTCCCAGAAGAAACCCTGAAGAAGCAGGATGCTGACACAAGGATGAGTCTGTGTGGAGCCTGAGGGGCTTGGGCTGCTCAGTGCCCCGTACTGGCAGTGTGGGGATGGCTGCCTTTTAGGGTCACTTGTACCAGTTAATGCTCAGGCATTAATATTGTGGATCTTATGGAAAAGTAGAATATTTAAAGTGGAAAAATGGTGTGTTTCTGTTATTAAAGCATTGAGCCAGAGGGTGAGATATCCCTGGGAGGAAGGAGGCCCTGGCACCATGTGGCCAGGACCTTTGGAAGAGGGAAAATGAGTCCTGCACTGCAGCATGAGGTGCATGAGCAGGTGCTTTGCTAGCTCATAAATGTCACACCTCAGCCAAGAGCTCCTCAGGCCCTCTCAACAATAACAGCAGGGCCTGGCAGTTAAAACAGATTAGAGGAGGAATTTTGCAGATGCTCCTCTGTTCAGGATGGAAGGGTGTGAGCCTGGCCGTGGATCAGGAGGCACTGGACAACAGCCCCCTGGAGCTGCAGGACCTGGCTGGGATCTCCATGGTGAGATGCAGCCTCCTCTGGCCAGTCCCACCACAGATGGCAGTTCCTGGTATTAGTGGGCCCACACCATATTGCCTCTCCTGTGCACCCTGCACAGAGCCTGGGCACGGGGCTCTGCTGAGGCGCCTCCCCAGGGCAGGAGGAGGCTGGCAGCTCTGGCACCAGTGGAACCCCCCCAGGACCAGCCTGGCCCTGCTGGGGCATCCCAGACTGCAGCACAGGGGGTGCAGGTGCCACTGGGCATTGTGGTGCACTCAGAAATTTCCCTGAGCCCAGCAATGCTCAGGCTCCCCAGACCTCCACTCCTGCACCCACCAGCTCCCTCCTGGGAGCACAGGGTCAGGGTGAGAGGATGCTGGGGATGGGTTGAGGCTTGGCACATGTCCCACAGGCTGGGAGTGCTCAGGATGCTCTCTGCCCTGTGCTGCTGTTGGGGATGCAGCTCCTGCTCCCCTTGAGTGAGTGGGCAGAGGGGCACTGGGGTGTGTGGGTGTGGTGGGGTTGGCACTGCTGGGGCGGTGCTTTTGTTCAGCAGAGCCCTCCCCCCATCTTGCCATGTGTAATTTGGAGAGGAGCAGAAATAAAGCAAAGGGTCCATTCTTCAGCCACCTCTGCTTTAATGATCTCATAGAGGCCATGTATTTTTGGGCTGTTGCAAACCACTGGTGCACGTGTGACAGTGCTCTCCGTGATGGATCCCAAAATGAGAGCTCCTACCTCCCCACTTCCAGACTCTCTCTGGAAACTCAGGACCCAAAATCTGCTGAGGTTCCCAAGGCAGTCCCAGTTCCCCTGTGGAGCCCCCGTGCTTCTCCTCAGCTCAGCTCAGCTCAGCTCAGCTCAGCTCATAGATGCCCTGTGTGTCCCTAGAGGCCACAAGAACATCCTGAAACTGGGACACAATGTGTCCAAAATGGGACCCTTCCCAAAACACTTTCCCACAGCAGGTGCAGCAGTAGAAGTCGGTGAGCTCTGCTCTGTCCAGCACCCCGGGGGGGATAGCAGTGACCTGCAGGACCGTGTCTCCTGCCAGCACCGGGGCTGCCCCGCACTGCTCCATCCCCTCCGCCCGCTCGCTGTGTGGGGTGCAGCCAGGCTGGGCTGTGTCACAGACTGGCTCAGTGGCACTGCAGCTCTGGCTCCCCAGGCAGCCTGTGGAGAGAGGAGACAGCAGATAAACCACCAGTCACTGGTGTGATGAGTGGAATCTGTGCTTAACCACGTGAGCGACCTTGTCATCGCTGCAGGGATGCAGGCTCTGCCCTGCATCCCAGGGAGGAGCATCTCCTGAGCTCAGGAGAAGGTGGCTGGTCACCAGCATCCAGGAGCTGCCTGCCCTAAGCGTGGCACCCGTGCAGCCACTTGCTCCCCTGCAGCCTCCTGGCACCTCCTGAGTTCCTTCGCTGTGTCTTGGGGTCTGTTCCAGTCTGGGTAATGGCTCCAGTGCTGCTGCTGTTCTGGGGGCGCTGGTTTTGCCCCCAGGTCACAGGTCAGGCCGGGCTGCCCTGGGAGCGGGGCTGTGCCCCCACCCCCGGCCGCGTTATGGGGCAGGCAAGCAGCAGGGAAACCCCCACTGCAGTTTAAGCAAACCACCACCGCGATCAGCTGCTCACGGCACCCACGAGTGCCCGAGCGTGCCCGCGGACACGGGGCTTTGGGCCCCATCCCCAGTGTGTGACCCCCCCAGGTACCCCGGGCAAGGGGCACGGTGACAGGGGCCGCGTCCCCCGGCTGGCCCGGCCCGCGGCTCGCACACGGCGGGGGCACGGCCGCGCTCCGGGTCCGGGCGGCGGAGGGCGAGGGCTGAGCTGCCTCCCGTCCATCAGGGAGCCTGGCAGCCGGGAACAGGCTGCAGTTGTTGCTGTGGGATGTCCCCGTTTTGGCAGGGGGATCTGTCCTGCTCAGGCACCAATTAAGACAACAAAAGGCATCCGGCATCGCTCTAGCGACACTTCTGGGGTGTCCACCCGACCCTTTCCAGAATCATAGGGACCCTGTCAGGAGCCGGCTGGGACCGAGAGGGACACCAGCATTCCCAGCTGGTCCTTCCCTGCATTCCAGAGTCAGGAGGTGGGACATGCTGGGGATTACCGTGGGGGAACACACGGCTGGGAACAGCCCTGAAGCGGCCATCCCATCCTGGGAGAGCTGTCCTGTCCTGGCAGAGTCACCCCTCAGCTGTGCAGCGGGGTCTGGGCCTGCCCATCGCATGAGCACAAAGAGCCACAGCCCGGGAGAGGTGTGGAAGGATCAGCTCACACCAGCCCCTGGTTCAGGGGGGTTCCCCAGACCTCCCCCCCCCCCCCCCCAAAACCTCCCCCCCCCCCCAAAACCTTCCACACCTCCCTAGGACAATTACCAGCCCGAGCCGCTGGGGCATGGTCACCCCCAGTTCCCAGCACACCATCAGCCATGCCCAGGGTCATGGCTGTCACTGGGGATGTTCTCAAGGGGGACTTGCGGGCCAGCCCTTCACCCCCACACTGCCCAGCAGCAGCACTAGTTTGGGGTTTGCTGCCACAGCACAAAGGGAAGCAGCCCCAAGCCCCATCTGAGACACTGGGCAAGAGCTGGGCTCACCAGGGCTGTGCCCTGAACAAGTGCCCCATGGCCTCACTCTTGGATGGGCCTTTCCTTCACCCCCTGTATCTGCTTTGGATAGATATTTATCCTTAAAGGGAAAACAGTGACCTCAATTTCCCATTTTCTCCAATTTCTGGCAAGTGTTCAAACACCCAGGCTGCTCTCGGGAGATTCCTGAGCCACCCAGAGCAGGGATGTGGAGGAGGAGTCCATTTCCCAGGGGTTTCTCCAGGATAAAGCCAGCCAGTGGGTGGCAGATCCCCAAGGCAAGAACAGCGGCTCTGTCCTCACCCTGTTCCCACCCTCCTCTGCCCTGTGCCACTTTTGTGTTTGGTGGTATGGGGTGGCCTCAGCCTGGGCACCCTTTTTTCTCCTATCCTCTCTGCTCTCGAGCACCAGACCCTGAAGGGAGGGACATCAACCTTGGGTGGGACTTTTAGATCCAATGCGATGGAAATGACACTGACAGCATGCAGCACCCCTGGCCAACAGCTTTTCCCATCATGGACCCTAAAATTTCCCTGGCCAGAACATGGTACTAGCACACTGACAGGGCAGTCACATTCCGTGTGCCTGCAGGGATACTGAGTAATTCGCTCTCTCTTCCATCACGCTCCCTCCACTGTCCTGCTGCTGGTGGGCAAAGCCAATGGCAAACCCCTTCTTCCCTGCACAGGGGGATGGGAAACCTCCAGCTCCCCCAAACACTCCAATCCCACCCCCTGGGCTCGTGGGAAAAAGGCAGGCAGGGAGGGAAAGTTCATCCCTTAAAAGCCTGAGGAGAGAAAGGCCGTGATGGTCACCCTGTAGTTTTGCCTTTGCTTGCACCAGCCCCCTCCTAATTGTGGCTCTTCAAAGGGTTGAAAATGCTACATCACTTCAAAGTGACCATTTCTGAATGGGAGCTTGTAAAACCCCTTCTCCCCCTCCCACCAAATTCTTCCCAGGGCTTTTGAAGATGCCTGTGCTCCCCTCACCGACAGGGTGAAAGGGCCACCAGGCGCCAGGCACAGGATGCCAGCCGGGCACACGGGAAAACTGAGCTGGGAAAGGCTGGATCCCCCCAGAAAAACAGGGGTTTGCAGGGGGAAGGTGGGAGGGGCTTGAGGGAGAGTTTTTTCTTCCCTTTCTGACAGGCAGAGGCCTCCCCAGTGGAGCCACAGTTCTCTCGGGACTGCATCCCAGCTTGCCTGGATGCTGCACAGCCCGGAGTTACACCAGAGATGGAGCAAAAGGCGTGTGTAGGGGGCATGGGGCCACAGGGAGCCCAGCGTATCTTTCCAGTGTGCCGGGAGCCTGTCAGATCTGTGGCTTCCAGAGCTCTGAGAGGTTCACACCAAAGGCTGGATTCCCACCCCATCCCCGTGGAGGAGAAAAAGAAAGCAATTCCTTACCAAATTGATTCGAAACACTTCTTGGGAACTAATAATCCCATTATAAAACATCTTGAAAATAAAAACCCCTTTGCCTTTCACTCACCTCTCCTCCTCTTGGCTGGGTCACCCTGGGGATGATAGATCCTGGGTGAGGGGCTGAGCCCTGCAGCCCCCAGCTCCCCAAGGCTGAGCAGCCGCACATGAGTGCTGCAGGGTTCCATGGGCAGCGAGCCGTCCCGCAGCACTGTCCCCAGCTGGGCAGTGCTCAGCACAAGAGCCATCTCCTCCTGGCCTCGCACGTGCTTCCCACTCACAGCTCCTGCCCACCCCTGCTCACCTGTGGGAATTAATCCCACGGGAACAGCAAATCCTGCTGCTCTTCCTGCCATGACGTCTCACCACCAGCAAATGCTGCCATGCCCAGGGGAGAGAGGATGCTGCAGCAGCCCTATTCTGCTTATTTCTGCTTATTTCCTGAGCTAAGCAGGGCCACTCTCAGTGGTGGGATCCCACCTCTGCGCACACTTGTCACCTCTGCAGCAGCCCTGCTTTGTGCTCAAGCCCCTACTGTATGCCCCAGGGTGGGGTGGCCCCATGCTCCATGAGGTGGGTGCAGCAGGAGCTCCCCAGCCTGGATTGGATCTCCTTCTTTCAGCCCCCAGTCACCAGCACCAAGACAGCGGGGCAGACCCATGCCAGAGGCCCATCCCACACCCTGGGCACTGAACAGGCTCTGGGCAGTCCAAAGGACCAGCAGTCCCTTCACCTGGGTGGACATGGCAGCATCTGGGACCCACAGCCACCAGGATCACTTTGGTAGTCCCACAGTAACCCTGAACTATTGCCACAGGGAGGCTGTGGGGGCACAGTGGCTTGTCCCGAGATAGGGGCAAGACAGGAGCTGCAGCTTCCTGAGCCTCACTGCAAGGTCCTGCTCAGGGATGTGGGGCTGAGCCCAATGGGATGGACATGGGACAGGACAGGGGCTGCCACTGCGGGCAAGGGCACACACATTCCCCCACACAGAGGGGCTCTTAGTGGGGGTTACATTGAAAGGCCACCGTGATGGTGACACTGGTGACCTGTAGTCCCTCCAGCCTATTGTGTCAGCTGCAATGCTGGAATGCTGGCTCAGCACTACTGGGACAGCAGCGGGACTTCCACAGCAGGACAGGGGGGCACAGCAGGGCTTGGAAAGACGGGACAGAGCAGGATCAGGGCAATCCTCTTTTGAACCTGTGCCCATTCTCCTTTTCCAGCCCCGACAACCGCGATTTGGCTGGAAAGAACCTGTCCCCAGGGTGGTAGCCAACAACTTCCCAGGGAGCCAGGTACTTCTGCCCAAAATCCTGCCCCATGGGCCCTGTTTCTAGCCCAGGTCCCTCTGTGTCACCCCTGCCTGAACCAAGGCCTTGGGGCAAGGAGCTGGGTACCTGTCCCAGCTGGCTCAGGCAAGGACCTGGCAGCTCCTGCTGCCTCTGGAGAGGCTGTGGGTGCAGCAGCCCTGTGCCAGCCCCAAGCCCTGCGCCCGCCACAGCCAGAGCCATCACAGCGGAGTGCGGGGCAGCCAGGGCTGGGGGCTGGGGAGAAAGCTCGCAGCTTGGTCGAGGCTTTGCACAAGGCTGAACACAGACTTGGGAGCATTCTTGGAGTACAAAGGTGCATGGGAAACCTCGGCCTCGGTGAGAGATCAGCCTGATAAGAGGAGTTACGAGCCTGAGAAATGTGCTGATTGCAGGGCACTGAAGATGCCTGGTTATCTTTTCCTCCTCGATAAGGCAGATAAGCAAAGGACAAAGGACCTGGGATTGTGCAACCTGGGCTGCAGCACCCTGGCCGTGATCTTAAGATGTTCCCAGGGTGGAGGAGGGAGGATGAGCTCAAGCAAGAGGCAGCTCCAGCTGCTCTCATCTCCCCGTGCCGCTGTGAAGAGAACCCTGCCAACCCCTGTAGCCAGTGCTGGGCAGGAGCACGCAGTGATCCCTGGCTCTGAAGGGCCCCCAGCTTCTTCTGGGGCACGCTGGGCACAGTGCCCCTGTCAGCAGGCACAGCAGAGCTCTGCAAACCAGCACACACAACAATATCACCGGGTCCCAGCCCTGCCCTGCTTTTCCATATGAGCAAGTGAATTCCACTGAAGAGTGAAAGCCGGCAGAGCATGACCCAGCTGAGCCTGGGAGGTGTTTCTGGCCGGTCTCACCACTGCAGTCCCCGGTCCCAGCCCTACCCTGCTTGGACACGTGAAGATGCTCCTGTTATTCTGTTGCATCCTGGAGAAGAGAGAGCCTAAATGCAGGGGGTGGCTGAAGGGGGCAGGGGATTCCCTGGATCCAGGGATGGAACCCCTAGGGATCTCATCCTCTCCCATGCAGAAGTATTCAGAGCAGCCCAAGACAATGGGGGTGCCTTGGCCCCACAAACGGAGTTTGGTACAAAGCAGTGAGGATCCATGGGTGCAAGAACACTTCTGGGACAGCACAAGGATCTATCTCACACCTTTCCCAAGGCAAGAAAACAAGTGTGACGCTCACAGCAAAGCCATATACTGTTGATCAGGGAAGCCTTCAGCCGTAGGGTTTGGGCAAGTCCATCAGAGCTCCTGGCTAAGGGGAGTGGGTCCCACCAGCCCATGCCCTCAGCTGCCCCAGTGTGGTGGCTGTAGAGCAGGGACTGTCCTGCTGCCACCCCAGCCTTTCCCACACTGTGGCCTGCACCTCTTCCTCCCGCCTGCCTTGAGCCATCTCTGCTGGCTTTTCCCCAGGCTTGGGGTGGAGCCGAGGGCTGGGAAGGGAAAGAAACCCCAAGTCACTGCTCAGGCTGGCAGGGGCAAGGTGGGTGCCCCAGCTGCCCGATGCCATCCTGCCACCCAGTGCAGGGACACTCCGGCTGCTCCTCCAGCCACCGCTGGGGCCATCAGGGACTTATCCTGCACCTGTGTCCAGAGCCCCAGCGCTGGCAGCTGGGCAGGGAGGGTGCCCACCCAGCATGGGAGTGGAGGCTGCACCCTGCCTGGTCAGCACCACAGACCCAAGGGCATCGGGATCCATTGTTTTCATCTTTTGCAGCACATTTTAGATGTGAGGGGAGATTTTGCAATTACATTCGCTCCTCTGTTTGGCAGCTCCCAACCCGATGGAATGTGCTACATCCTCGCCTTTCCCAGAGACCAGATTTCATCTGGCAGAGCACCCACTGAGCTCTGGGGCCCCATGCCAGCTGGTTTTACTGCACTGACTAAGCAAGAGTTCCCCATACCAGACGAGAGCCTGTGACACAGCCCATTCCCCTGGGTCACTTGGGAGCCACAATCTGTCACTACCTCCAGCGAGGGCTTGCCTGTGCCCCCTGGTGACCCCAGAGCCCTGCTCCCCTCTCTCCCCCTGTCTGCTCCAAGCACCTGAGCTGCTCAGAGCATCCCACTGGGAAATCACAGGACAAAGCTGTTTGGGCTTGAAACTATTTGCAGCAAAATTTGCAGACGTATTTGTCAAAACCCTCATGCAGGAAAAAATGTGGCTGTGTCAAGGATTATGTTCCCTAAAACCTGTGAAAGTCCTAGCTCCAAGTAAGAGTGAGCTATTACAGGATGAATAATTGGCCTTTCATCACTTTGAAGCCCTGCTATAAAAATCCAGGAACCAAATGAAGCAGCACTGGCTGCAGCTGGACCCCAGGACTTGGGAGCACCTGGGCCAGACACAGACTTGTGTTGAGAAGTGGTCCTGAAGGATCTGTCCCCATCACCCATCTGCCCCAGCAGCCACCAGCTCCTCCCTGGAGAGGTGAGGCGCCCCATGGCAGGAGGCTCCCTCCTTGCCTGGAAGCAGGAGCAGGGAAAAGGCATTTTCTTGCCAAGCAGCAGCACCTGGCCATGGTCTGGGCCATGCACAGGGGTGTGACAGGGACGACATGGCCTGGGCTGGAGTCATGGGACAGGGGACAGCCCTGGTGTAGGGCTGTGGGTGCTGAACATACCCATGCCATGTGTTGGGCCATGACAAGGGCAGAGCAGGTCCTGCCACCAACTTCTTCAGCAGGAAAATGTAAAGGAAATCAGGGAACAGGTGAGATTTTTCTTATTGACCCACTTCTGTGGCTGCCCAGCCTGTTCCAATGCCACCACTGTCCCCACCAAGCGTTGACAGAACACTGTCAGCACACCCTTCCTACTTGTCTTCCTGAATATCTGACCCAAGGTGGGACATTTTGGGGCAACCTAGTTAAGCTCACACTTGCAATCTCTGCTTGCAATCCCTGCAGCTCCTAGCAAAGTGCAAACAGAAATGGAACCCCCAGGATGGGGCCAGGGCCCTGGGTCACAGGGGACTCTGCTGGCAAGTCTCCAGCCCTGCTGTGCCCGCCAGTCTGGGAATCACAGCTTCTGTCTCATGTCTCCACCAACCCTCTGGGGATGCTGTGGCACCTTTGGTCCCTGCCCCTGCCTGCTCCGGGGCAGAGGATGCTCCCTTTGGGGCAGAGATGTTCCCCCTTGGAGGAGGCTCCCCGACCAGGTCATGAGTGACACGGCCACTGCAGGGGTCCCACCTGCTCCTTCCCCATGAGCCCCCCAGGGACATGGGGGACCCAGCAGGAGACTGCACGGCCCGATGGGGACACGGGGTGTTGCAGATGGAGTGTAAAGAGTAGAGCAAGGTGGTCCCTGAAAGAGTCTGTGCGGGGGAGCCACGGTGCTGCGTGAGACCCTCCCAGCTCCATCAACCTCATCCCGAAGGGGGAAGGGGAAACGGCTCCCTCTGAACACAAACCACAGCATTTCTATTTCCCATACTCAAACTGGCTGAACTGGCCCGTCTGGTTGCTGGGTACACACGCAGAGAGTGCCCTCACCAGAGAAACCGCTGGGGAGGATGTCCCGGCCTCTGGGGAAGAACAGCACTCCCAGGCTGCCAGCACCATGGGAAAAGCCTCCCCACCACGTTCCTCACCCCCAGAGCCACACGTGCAGCTCCCAGCAAAGCCACAGCCGGCCAGGAGCACCCAGCAGCTGCCGCTTCCCTCTGCTCCCTGCCGTCAGCAGCCGGGGAAGTGATGCACCAAAGGGCGGGGGCAGAGCCCGGGCTGGGCTGGAGCAGCAACAGGGGCACATCCCCGTTCTGGTGTGCCTGCCATGGTGTCGCTTGCCACCAAAATGTGTTTCCCTGTGGGGAGGAGTGTGTGGGTCAATGCAGCTTGGAGTATGGAGGAGCCTTCTCTCCCCCGAGCCCGCTGGAGCCCGGCTGGGCAGGCGGCACTGACTCACCTCCCTGCAGCCTGACCTAACTCAAGAGGCACTGGGCAGGTGAGGAAGGCACTGGGCAGGTGAGGAAGGCACTGTGAGCAGCTCCAGCCATGAGGCATTTCACCACCTAAGCTGAGTTTTTCACATTCAGGTGATGAAGGCCTCAGGCTGTCACTTGAGCTACTGCTGGCATGTCACCAACTCCCCGGGCTGGGCAATCCCAAGCACGACCCTGTGCCTTGCAGGGCAGGACAGGGCAGCCAGGGCAGACATAAACCGGACCTGAAAGAGCTCTGTGGGTCTGCACCCTGTGGCAGGTTGATGGCAGGGCACTCCAATCCCCCTCTGAGAAACCCCCAGGCCCAGGGGGATGGTCCCGCTCTGTCCAGGGCAGTGAGTCTCAGGGAAGGATTACCCACCACTCACCTGCACTGTTCTCCCCTGACGCTTGTCTGCTGCTCTCCACCAGCTGCTTCATACTCTCCCGTGAGACCTTCAGGTACTTGTTGCAATTGCACACCTGAGAGAAGAGAGAGGGGAAGGTCAGTGAGATGGCCATCGTGCTCCCCGGGCACCTCCTGCCTGCCCAGGGCACAAACCCATGCTGGGCACCCCTGGCACAGGCTGGGCAGCCCCCATCACATGCACCACAGCAGGGAAACCAGGGCAAGGCCGGTCCCACTGAGCAGGGACAGGCACAGGCACCAGCCACAAGCCCAAGAACCCCCTTCAGAGGTGCTCCCTCTGTGTGTGCTCAGCCACGTGTCCAGCCAGGCTGCCAGTGCTGCTGCCCACCCTGGCTCCCCGGCCAGAACACACCAGCAACGAGGCTGCCTTAAAGCATCAAGCAGACATGCAAAGTCTCGGCTGTGGCTTCAAGATTTGATCTCTCTTTTCTGACAGAGGCTGGGGATGATGGCTGTGGACCCCAAAACACTCTGGGCTCTCATTTGGCTCTGCTTGGCTTGTCTCTGCTGCAGCATTGTCAACACTGAGTCACACTTTCTACCCCACCTTTTGTTTGCCAAAATGTACCCAGACAGGTCTCTGAGTGCCCCCATGTGCCAGGTGCTAGACCCCAAAGAGCTCCCTAAATCCTGCTGCTGAGGAGCACCCAGGGATGGTGCCTGGGGCTAAGCACAGGGTACAGCTGGCAGCCAAACACACTTGCCCAGAGTGAGCAGCACTAAAGCTCCCTGGGAGCACTGCAGGCTCCCTGACACCTTCCCTCTCCTCTCCCCTCCATCCTGGGCCGGGAGCTGGTTGTTGGGATGCGCCACAACACCTTTTGTCAGCTGCTTGTTTTGAGAGGCTGTTTTCTGCACACTGCACCCAAGGCAAGGAGGGAGAGAGGTGAGCAACTTCACTAACCAGAACAAGTCAGTTCCCTGCCAGGGGCTTTACTCCAGAGCCTGTTGAAACCAGAAAGGTTTTTCCAGCTCCCAGCCAGGCCCTGGTGCGGGCTGGCAGGCACTCTGCTGGTTTGGGGCTGGAGCAGTGCTGGGCTCATGGCACGGGGCAGTGATGGCCCTGCTCCCACACAGCTGCCTGCAGGAGGAACGGGGCAGGGTGATTTGTTTGGAAACGAGCTTGCCACCATGTCCTGGCTCTGCCTTGCAGCACGAGGTGATTCCCACTGGCAGCGTCCACAAAACCAGCACACACTCCCCGTCTATCCCCATCCCAGCACACATCCCCAGCCTTTTGGCCAGAAAGACACCTGGGCTTAGTTCCCTGAGGCCCCACTTCTCCAGCCCTGCAGAGCAGCAGCATGGTCAGACAGACAGAGATGGACAAGGGGTGATCTTGGAAGCACCCAAATGACATGGAAAACACTACATCACTTTTAAAAGGGGATTTTGCAGCAATCCTCTGACTTGCACGGCAGCATCGGGGAACAACCTGTCGAGCAACTGGGGACAGAGCCCTGCACTGCTCCTTGCTCATGCTGGGGACAAGATGAGAGCATTGATATAACGGAGGGCTGAGCATGTCCCCCTGCCCTGAGCAGGGCAAAGCCCTCCTTGGTCTCACCCTCAAACCCAGGGACCAGGGAAATGCATCTGGGTGAAAGCCCAGGGGAGCAGAATGATGCTGTGATTTGTGGGAACACGAATTTCTGCAGAGTCTGACCAGAGATTGGACAATCCCTTTGAGGCCTGAGGACATGCCAGCTTGCACAGGCTGGACCTAGAGCCGAGATGCCACCCCCAACAGGCACCCACACCCTCACAGGGATCTGTGAGATTGAAGCAGGCAGGCAGAAGGGAGGGCAGCGGCTGGTCCCTTCTGTGGGAACATGTGCTGGTCCCACTCCCCATGATGGTGACAATGGGCTGCATGCTGGAGACGGATGTGGAGCCTGGAGGGGTGGGGGATGGTACCTCTTGGGCATGGTGGCAGCACTGGAGAGTCAGAGGTTTCCAGGAAGATCCCAGACCAGCTGTCCATTGAACTGCCAGCCAGGAGGGAGCAGCAGGGCCCAAGGACACCCTCCTCCCCTGCCCTCCCTGGTGGCATGGACATGCAGGGGCTCCTCTGCCCTCTGTCACACACCAATCCCCCAGGATGCCTAACCCTGGCAGCCTGGAGCCCACCAGCTTCTCGAGCAGCAGTGGGAGCACGCTGGGCACAGGCTTCTTGTCCCGCTTGGGTGCACAGAGCGACCTTGCACGAATTTCTCTGCTTCTCTAAAATTCATGACTGTTGTGAATTAGGGGCAGTTCACTCCCTGAGCCAGGAATGCCCAGCAGCACAGGGGTATCCTGACATTCCACACTCTCTGAGGCTGCTGGGTGCTGCCAAGAGGCTCTTTGCCCTATGCCACCCCATAGCCTCTGGGCCTTCACCACCTTCAGCTTCCCAAAAACAGAGTACGAGCTCAGGAGCCAGATAAGACACTTAAGCAGCAGCGCCAATTAGCTGTAATAAAAAAATTGCAAGTAATTTTTTTTAATGCCTTGCCAAAATGAGCCAAAAGAGATGAAGTGAGTGGGGAAGGCTGCCACTTCCACAGGCTGGGCTGCACGGCTGCTTTGCAGGGACCAGTGGTGACTTCAGGCTTGATGCTTGGCTCCTGGGGATGTGGAACAGTTTTTTGTGTGGATCTTTTGTGTATAGGGTAGGGAAGTGGGAAGCCTCTCTGCTGGAGAAGGGATGATTTTTTCTTAGAAAAGTTTGGTTACTACACACCCATCATGGCAGGATTAGTTGTGGCTCCAAAAATCTTCATGAGATGAATCAGCAAGAGATGGTGGCACCTTGTTACACTGCCTGGGGTGCAACTGCTGTGAGCAGCGGCCATGACCTGACAGAGAAGGGTTTGGCATCTCTGTCACATCTCGGGGTCCCCCCAGCCCCTGTGCCAGGCTCGGGGTGGGGGTGGCAGCTTCTGCTCACGCCCCAGTCCTGCCTGGGGGCTGATGTGCCGGGCGGGCTGAATGCAGGGCCTCCGCTCCTGCCTGGCCTCAGGGATGAGGAAAGGGCAGAGTCCAGCTGGGGAGGAGGGGACTGGGGGGTTGCAGCTGCCACAGGCTCCTGAGTGCCACCCCGTGCGGTGACACTGGTGTCCCTGTGCACAGCAGGGCGCCCGGTGCCCCGGGGCGGCGGGGGCAGGGCAGCGGCGGGCACACCTCGGAGGAGGAGCAGCCCTGCCTTTCTCACGCTGGGGCAGCCCGTGCCAGCACATGCTTAGTCACTGGTAAATCCCAGCCGAGATCTGCTCTGCCCTCTGTGAAATGGATCTTGGCTGCACCCCCGCTGAAGCAATCCCGGCGCTCGGGAGCCATGGCGGGCGCGCTTTCCCACGGCAGCCCGGCCCCCGGCTCCCCGTGTGAATCAGCCCGGCCCGCTGCCCCTGCTCGGCGCACGGCAGCGCGGCCGACCGGCGTGTCCCTGCTGCGGGGGTGATGGAGCTGCTGCGGAATTCAGGCTCCCTGCCTGGCCAGGGGGACACGATGCGACACCTCCCCTGCGTGCCCCGGCTCTGCTGCCGCATCCGTGGCAAGGACGAGGAGCAGGTGCAGCTCGGAGGAAGCCGTGGTCCCGCTGCATCCCCTCACCGTTGTCCCCTCTCCCTGTGCCTGTCTGTGCATCCTGGCAAGGTGCTGCACCTCGCGTAGGGCACTGTCACCCCCACACCCGTGTGCTCCTCCCCGGGAGCTCAGGCCAGCATCCGGGGGGGCACTGCATCCTAGCCAGCTCTGTGCTGTCAGCACCAAGGGTGTGACATGGGGATTAGAAGGAGCGATGCCATTGGACTGAGACTGTGGTGTTATCACTGGTGTGGATCTGTGGTCCCTGAGCCCGGTGAGGTGCTTGTCCCCAGCCCCAGCAGCTTGAGCCCCCCTGCACTGAGGCTCTCCCTGCCTGGGCCACCAGGAAGGACAGGGCAGGTCAAACGTCCTTTTGCAATGCTGGCAGCCCAGCTGGCGCCCTGTTTTTGTTTAGGATGATCCCTGCCTCTCCCAGCCCTCCTGGCTGGGGATTTCAGCAGCAGTGACGCATGAACCTCCCAGGACTCGAGCAACTGGATGCTTGAGCCTGGAGCTCCAGGGCCATCTCAGCATCCCATCCTCTTTCTGCACCTCCACCCATGGAGCTGAGAAGCTGAAAGAAAACTCAAGTTCAGCAGATAACAGGAGCCAAACCTTCGGCGACTCCAAAAGGGCTGCAGAAGTCAGTGTGAGCTTGGCTAAGGCTGGCAGCATGAGCTCAGGTGGACGTAGGCTGGTACCCAAAACACCTGGAAGATGAGCAGTTCAGACACCACTAGAGTCAGTTTTGCTCCTTCCTTCTAAAAGCTTCCAAAGTGCTTTGAGTTACCTTGGTGATGCTGACCTCTGCCCAGAGGAGCCACCCTGGAACAGCCTCTGGGCCTTAGTGCTCCTTCCACCTGCTCTGCTGACAAACGTCACAGGCCAACGTCACTGAGGGATCTCCTTGGCAGGGGTTTTACCAGTGAGACACAGCTCTCTGCCTGGAGAGCTCCTGGCTTGGGAAATCCTCAGTGTAAAGGATCCAACCTGCTGTAAAGGAAAACAGTGCCTGGTGTGAACTCTTTGGGGCAATTCAGGGCAGCTCATGTCAGGGCAATTCCTTGGGTGTCTTCTGCCCGCTGTATCATGGAACTACTCAGCAGCCACCTGCAGTGATATCTCTTTTCCTACTCACCACCTACCCTCTCCTCTTTCTCCCTCTCTCCAAGATGGCTATCACCTGGTGAAAGGGCTACTCCTCCAGATGGAGGTTGCAACTCTCCCTTTGGTTGTGAAAGCACAGCCCTTGAGCATCCAGGAGTTTCTTTCAGGGACTTATCGAGAGTTGAAACCTCCCCAGATTGCAGGATGCCCCAGGCTCAGCACAGGCTGCCCTCTATTACCTCCAAGGCCGGGAATTATGGATCTGCCTCCGCACACCTCCTGCCTACAACCCAAAGCAGAGTGCCCAGGAAGGTGGGAGATGGTGGGAAGGGCAGTGAAAGAAAACCAGGTAACAACCCAGCAGAAGTGAAGCAGAGGT